GTGTGTTGGGTGCGCACCGCCGTTCTCTTACAGAGGTAGTCACTCTACACCGCCTGCGAAGGTTTGTTCACATATTGCGTATGCCTGCCCGTCGATTACCTTTCCGTGCTCTCTTTACATGTGCCGGGCAAGGCTGGAAGAAGCGCCGCGGCGGTCAGACCATGACATGGTGTAGAAGTATGAAGAAGCAAGCTTGAGCTTTTGCTTCGGCTGGTGCAGCCCACCGTCCAGGTTGGGGTCCAAGGGATACGGATTGTCATTGAATAGAGACGCTGAGAAATATGGCCTGGAATAGAAGTCAGTGGACTGGATGTTGTACGGTTTGTCTGTCGAAATCCCGTGCCCCGTAAAAAGGAACAAAAAACGACACAAAAAACATATCAATAGGGGTATGATGAAATAATCTGGTTATCCCGATTGCCTTATTTTATCTATTTTTACTGTTCCACCTTCTTCCCTTGTTTGCTCTGTATTTCAACCCACCTGCTCAAAGTTATTGTTATTGTTATTATTATCGTGATGTTGTTTGCAAGCCGGTGTGGAATATAAAATATGTAATTGTCACAATGCCGCCTTCAGATTCAAGCTCACGTGGTTCATTAGATGATTAGCTTTGGGAGCCAGCATGAGTAATAGTAATTTATTTGCTACTTCCCAGATGGGACTAGCTACCCTTTCCCTCTTATACCCGTTGTCTGCTAAGCCACTGTAGTGATCGGAATGTTCTTGTATAAATACCAGATTTCGTTTAGGTTCTAGCAGAATAAAGAAATAGTGACACTCTGCAGTATTTTCCTTTTCTCTGTTTTAACGAACTGGATCAAGGGGACCCAGTGTTTCCAATTACGACATGCGGCATTCGGTCGACCGCTCTTGTACATCGGATGGTCAAAGGTCGTAACATACGCATTTAGTATGCCAACCGAGGTGCTGCATTCGGTTCTAGCTATGCGAATTCCTGCTGCTCTACTGTTGACTAACAAGGCTGGAGAGCTGGTAAAGAGTTTTCGTGCTGCAAGTAGCATTGACTTTCATAGGCTAGTGTCGATTGCGGCCAATATCTGTTTAGTGATGAAAACCGGAAACTCAGTCCTCGGGACTTGGTTTGACCAGTCAGAATCACTCGGCGACCTAAACAC